TACACAGTGACGCAAGAGCAAACTGCTGACCAGTGATAAAAATGCTTTCACTGTACCCGGAGATAGTTGAGAATGCAAGAAAAAAAGCATTGTCATCTGGAAAAAACTATCGAAAATCTGTTCTTGTTCAGATAGAAAACTCGTGGCACGTAGAACGTCAAAAAATCTCACAAAAATTCATGAATTTGCCGGTGTTTGAAATGCTTAAATTATCGTCCTTCAATTCATTTGATAACCCGCTTACGGTCAAAAAGAATTGTATCCTTAAAAAAGGCAATCAGAACCTTGTTCAGAGTACTGAAAACAGGGGAATTATGAGAAGTTACTCTTTCAGTGACGAAGGCTATCTAACTATAATGGGGAGCAATAATTCAGGTTCAAGAAAATAGAGGAATCAATAACCACCAGTAAGAAGCGCAGGACGAGATCATATTCGAAAACTAATTCTTTGAAGATCCCAAACAAGTTGCCGAGGAGAGTCTTATCTGTTCAGAAGAATCCCGTCGACAGAATAACCCCTTTTAGCAGCTTCAAAATCTTCACTCCTGAGTGTAAACCAAACACACCCTTAATGTTTTTGACAGCACCGAAAGTAGGGGAAAAAGCATTATCGTTACTAGGCAGTCAGTTATTAACAGGGCATGTAGTCACAGAGGAAACGGCAAATATCAACATTCCTCTCAAAAATGAACTTTGAAGAGAATGCTACCAAGACGTCACAAATTTCAGATTTTGATCGAAATACTTTAAATAATTCTGCTTGCAAGCAAACCTCTATAAGGTTTTCGAGGTTATGAAGGAAAGATACAACTTGGGGTTTTATATATTATGATCATTTTGAGTATTTTTACAATGATACGGATTCAAATGTCTTCCATAATTTAAATTTTTGATCATCAAAGCATAAATTAAACAATCTGGTCCCTTCTCACGAAAGTTGGCTCGCCCCCGGTATTAGCGAACACGAGGTTTCGGGTTGCTGCCCACTCGGCCCAGTACTGGCCTCTGGCAACCTAACCTAACCTAACTTAACCTAACCTAACCTAACTTAAACAACACTGGGACCAGCACCGATCCCTGCGGCACCCCTTAGGTGAGGTCTATAAGGAGGTTCCCAACTTTTAGAACTCGGTCACTAATCTGTAGTCTTCTGAGTTCCTTAACAATCAGATGCCATTTTGCGGTGTTGAAAGCGTTTTTGATGTCAATGAGGATTATAGCTCCCCATGTCTTTCCCCCTGCAGCAGCTTTTTCCATGAGTAGTCTCACCGCCCCAACTGTAATTCTGCCCTAACCTAACCGAACGTAACCTAACCTTGAAATCAGAAGTGAAAAACTAAAGAATTTTAGAATAATTCATTTGGAAAAATGTATCTGCCCTCAACATCTTACCTGACCTACGAATTCAAAAACGAACGTAGGTTCAAATATTACATTTGGAAATTATTATTTTTCCTGAACATCCAGCTTAACCTCCCTCTCCGGAATCGAAAAATATCGATGGTCATTTTTCCAAACAATATACGGCTGATTGATCCGAAAGTTTAGATAAAATAAATATGGTTTAAAAAAATTAAAAAAACACGCCTTTACAGCATACGAAACTAAAAAATGAAAATAGTTTAAAAAACTAAAAAACAAGCTTTCAAAGAACATCGAACTAAAAAGTTGAAAATATATTTTTTTAAATAAGCTTAAAACAATAACGAACGAAAAATACTAGTATTATTGTAAAAAAAGCGTGGGCGCTTAGTGTCATATTTTTTGTATATCAAGCGTCCGTCGCTTTTTTCACAATAATACTAGTATTTTTCGTTCGTTGATTACTTTAAAAAAAATATTTTTAACTTTTTAGTTCGATGTTCTTTGAAAGCGTGTTTTTTTACTTTTTTTAACTATACTTATTTCTTATATCGGTCGAACGTCGTTTCGAAAGAGTACTGTCAGCCTTCTCTCTTTTCCTGGTTTTCTCCCAGCTACCTACTCTCCCCTTCCCTACCCTACTCTATTTTAGAATATTTCATTTGGAGAAAATTACATACCCTGAACATCTAACCTGACCTCCGAATTAAAATTAGAAAGTATGTTCGAATATTACATTTGGAAAACATTACTAATACTGAACATTTAATCTCCAAATGTACAAACGTAATTACATAGGTATATTAGATTTGGAAAAACAATCTAGTCGAAACATCTATCTAGCGTTTGGAATCAAATACGAACTTAGTACCTATCACCGTTAATGGTCAACAGATGACGACACCAAAATCGTAAAATAATGTATTCAAATATTGGAACTGGATGGCGGCAGAAACGATAGATAATGCCGTTCTTGAGTTCCTTTATTGGTATCATTATTATTTTTTTCTACACCCGTACTCTAACAATACACTTATATGACCAAAACCTAAGTAACTAATTGCTTTATTTGTCAAAATCAGTTTTCATATTACCTACCTATATTAACAAAATGTCTGAAAACAGCGATATAGAAGGAATACCATCGACTCCAATATTTTTAAAAGATCAGATTAATTACAGTTGTTATATTCGATATAAATATAATTAGAATCTTTATAGTTTTCATATATCCATGATGATACCATTAAGTTTGTGTTTTTTTAAAAACATATGAGTTAATTACTGTAAATGTGTTCAATACAAATATAATATTTATAGTTTTTCATTATTTATCGGGTTTAGAAAAAATAGCGTATGCAACTCTCATGTAATGGTTATTAATCCACTCGCATATACCATACAAAACACGCCTTCGGCTCGTTTCGTATTCAGGTTAATGCTCGTGTCTCAATAACCATCATTACATGATCGTTGCATAATATACTATTATTGATAAAATATCATATTTTAATACTTATTATTCTATTCCTGACGACGACAAATCCAAAAACACAAAATTCATAATAAAAATGGGTCCAAGCCGTTCTATCATTATTATTATCATCAATGGAATATAATATTTCAATACTATTCCCGATGAAGAAAACTATCAAAATCATCACGGAGGCAGCTATAGCTACCTGTTTTCTTGTAAACACATAAAAACACAAGATCTATTAACTAAAACCACAAATGTGCTCTTGCTGATGGCTCCATGCATTTATTTTTCCTTCTTTTGCTTATCAAGAACTGTTTGGAACATTTGGTGTAGTATTGAATATTACTAGAGTTTAGTCCCAACACCAAACCGTTTAATCTTCCTCTTGAAGATGATCACTTGGTGATTGAAACGCATGTCGAGATGTTAAAAATAACGGTTTGGTGTTGGGACTAAACTCCAGTAATATTCATTATTGTTATTGCTAATTTGTTTTCCCTCCTATAAACAATTTGTATGTTTCTTAGGAAATAATTGGTTAATTAATAAAAGATCGCATGAATTTGAAAGTAAAATAAGTAAGGAATAGAATTTTTTTATGTTTCTGTCATAGGTACTTTACATACCTACCTAATATTCATTTATAAATAATTTTACAACCAATAATTCATTAAATATCATCAAGTATACATATAAAATATAACCAAAAAACAAACATAATTCAAAAAGTGTTCAGCAATTCAAGTATTCTCTTCATTACGATATTAACTCTAAATATCAATTCTCACAATGATAAAATAGTACATATGCTTTATTAATTCTGTTATATTTGACAGGCTGATAGTAACGTAATAACATATTGGTTGCGAAAATTATATATTTTAATAATGATAACACATCATCTAGACATTGTTGTTGCTATAGTTTGTTTGTGAAGTTTGCCACAAAATGCATATGTTGTAATGAATAATTCAGATCAAATTATTTCAATTCAATTTTTACTGTTGTTGTTGACACTAATTAAAAAAACTCAATATTCACCAAATAAAATTTTTATTAATTGAATCATCTCAAGTTAATTCATAAAAAACAACCATATCATCTATGGTGAAGGTATTTCCAAACAGAAAATATACAACGTTAAACGTTCATATACCTACACACTATAAAAGATGATTTCATTTTGACTATGTTTGAAAATGCTCAACATTAAAAAACTAAAAAAAGGTATGTTTCAATATCTTTTCTGCTTTCCGTCCCTTCCCCCATGACTCCCGAAGTTACCTTTACGTTTTCTGCTGTTTCTGCTGCTCATTTTCTGTTTCTTTCTCAGTTCCAGGATTGCATCCGAGCTCTTCTGTAGATACTCCTCCTCCTCTTCTCCTTCGAGGACTCTTAGTTTCATCGTGAATTTATCCACTGTCAGCTGGTTATCAGTCATTTTTTTGAGGAACTCCACCGCACCGTTTTCTTCTGGAAAACGAGCGTATCCTTCCAGATCTCCTTTTTTGAAATCCATAAAGGCGACCTCTAAATCGCCGACTTCCTTGATCCTATCTTTCAGTTCTTCCCTGGTCAAGCTATGGCCCTCTTCTAGGCCCGTAAAATGTAATATGGCTCCTTTGGGAAAATCTAATTTCTTTGGCGGTTCTTTTGAATCATCTTTTTCCTTTTTCTCCTTTTTGTTTTTTTTACGTTCTTCAATCTCTTTCTTCTTATCATCCCAATACACTTGTTGAAACTTTCTTATCAGTTCCACGTCATTGTATTTTATACTTTCGGCTTCTACAAACTTCTTGCATGCTTCGTTTTCTTTGAAAACAATAAAACATGAACCCTTGAATTTTTGATTGTTTATAGTTCTACGATGGCAAGACTCGATAGGGCCGTGAGGCTCCAGAAAACTAAGGATATCATCCAGAGATGCATCCAAAGGAAATCCTTTAGCATACGCTGAAAGATAAAATAAAATCAATATACTGACACTGAAATCAACTTCAAAAAATATATGTTCCTCAAGAATTCATCAATGTCTTACCTGATCTTTCTGTGACTTGTTTAAGACTCTGTTCATCAGATTCCGGAAGAGGCTTCTCAGGATTTCGTCTTATCTTTCTTCGATCTTCGCTCAACTCTACCAGTTTGTTTTCAGATTTTTCTACTGCGGCAGCTATAACTTCTTCATCGGTGGATAAGCTATTAAGTCTCTTGAACGTCAACAATACCTCCAAGGTAACCCAGCCTTCATCTTCTCCTATTTTCTCCTTCAAAAACTTGTCTCGCCTTAAATTGAAGTCTCCGAAGTAGTATTCAATTTGCTGAATAATTTTCTTTTCCAAATCACTGGCCATTTTAAAGTAATCAATAACCGGTTGAATACAAACACGTGCAACCAATAAGCTTGTATATTTAGGTTCGTTCAAACTCAAACACCAAACCCACAGAATTGCCACAACCACAAAACCACAGATTTCACTTTGTATCAATAGCGTTTTTCATTGGCAAAACTAGAGTGACACGTGTTGCATGAAACCACATGAGTTCTATCTATAGTACATTCAACACAAACCCACAGAATTGCCACAACCACAAAACCACAGATTTCACATTTGTATCAATAGCGTTTTTCATTGGCAAAACTGAGTGCCACGTGTTGCATGAAACCACATGAGTTCTGTCTATAGTACATTCAACACTCGTCACTCAACGACAATACTATAACAGAAAAGATCAACATCTATTATATTGGCTACTGGAATACATTATTTACATTGATAGATTGTGAATTTGATCTGCATAATTATTTTTATTTTTTTAAGGACAAAACACAAGCACTAAGAGCGCTCTAAGAGCTGTGCTTGTGCGAAAGTGGTGATTCAAATTAAATTTGTATCGCTAGAGATGAGCAGCCACAGTCTGTCGCGTATAACTGATATATACTGCCTTATAACTACAACAAATGAGTAAAAATAAATAAGTTTACATTTGCATATTCTCTTTAGGTGACGTTATCCTGCCGACCCTGAAGAGCTCGTCCTGAAAAATCTATACTGAGCTCAGTTCTCTTTGATTTAGTTTTGCAATTGAATACGTAAACTGGCACAAGTTTTCCAGAGGGCTCAATTTCCAAGCTCATACGAAAATCAGTCGTATTCGAACCTGTGTCGTATAAAATTTCCGAACATGTTTTTACCACTAGAGGGCGCAGAGGCGCAACGCCCAATCCAGTTATTTCGTCGTTCCGGACAAAATAATATTTGCCGCCTTTTACCCATGCGTTATTCCATAGATTGTATCATTTTATCATATTTTTGCCGCCCCTCATTTTCGCCGCCCCGGGCAATTGCCCGGTTTGCCCCGCCCTAGATCGAGCGCTGCGAGGGGTGTGAATGAAACAATGAATTAATTTTGATTATACGTTTTGAAAAAATAAGTTTAAAATATGTTTTTCCGTTAACCAGCTGTCGCACCCCTGCGAACGACAACCCACAGAAGTCGAAACTTGTGCGAGCTAAGGACTTTTTTTGAAAGTGAAATGATTTCTACCAACAAATTATTGAATCTCCCTTCTATTGGATCAAGATTATTCATGTTTATTTTATCTTGATTTTCTGCATATTCATTGTTACCATACATAGGACTGTTATTTTCTATATACCTACATATTGTGTAAAACTAGACAAGCATTTTCAATCTTTGCACTTTTTTGGATCTCAATGAAGCACACGATGCTTCGAAATAGCATCTCATTTTTTATAAACCATTTTACCTTTCAAATAGAGATCTAGTAGTTGTAATGAAGAATTTTTTTCTGAGTTGACTAGTCTGATTATTCGTCATTAGTGTGTGTTAATTGTTCACGCCGTTATCTAATCAAATATTGAGAGTACAATGAATACAGTAAATAAAACCCCAAAAAACGGACAACATAAAGTTCAACTACAAATGGCAACTGATACTAACGACAAACATTCAGAGTAGTCAACTCATATAAAAATACATGTACATAACTAAAACAACTTCCAAACAGCGGAAAATACTCGTATAGCATATACGAAATCAATTCGAATGGCATAAAAACTAAATAGTTACCGAACACGTCGGCAGTTTCCTTGTATGGGATGGGCGGCATGGTATAATTTTTTTTCAAAATCAATTTTATTTTTCACAAACCTACATGGATTTTGTATTAGTAGTAAAGAGTAATTCACATAGTATTTTATTTAGCTGTTCGGATTGACTTATAGACTATATATTGTTCATTTCGAAAGTCAATAATAAAAATGTATTTTTGTCGCTGTTATAATATTAACTCTTCAAGTAAATTGGTGAATAGTTGTCGAATATCACCTTTTCTCTCAGAATATCACTTATTCTATATTAAAATACAACTTTTTTTCTCAGAATAAAGTTAAAACCATTAGTCTTCCTTAATGTGAGTTGTGGCAAAAAGATCTCGATGCAGTTATTTTTCACAAAAAAAAAATCAACTGACAGTTCTAATAAAAACTATTTTAGGATTTTTAGAGAATGTAAATGAATGAGAGTTCTTAATGAATATGTTGTGAATTATGAAAATTGTTTCCACTATTACTAGAATATAATTTTAGATGGTTTCATAAAAGTTGGTGCTGTCAAAAAATTCCATTTTTTTTGCAAATGAAACAAACAACAAATTCATTGCATCTACCTTCCGAAAAAATATTCGGAACTTCCGATTTTTCTGAAATTTCATCTTTCGTCATGATAAAAATAACACAAACACTTTTTAAAAATTGAATCAAATGAGATTATGTTACGTTTTTTCGTTTCTTGGGTATTAGATTCCGGAAATATTCGATGTTTCAAAGATATCCAAAAAAAGTGCTGATGAGAAGTTGAAAACAAGTATCTACGTCCGAAACTTCAAAGTACACCAGGGGTGTGATAGTTTTCCATAAAAGTCAAATTTTTCTATTGTTCATATATTGGTGTGTAATTTCGCTGTGAATGATATCTGTGAATCCAAATATAAATGTTCAGAGTACTAACTTGATGAGAAAAAGTGATGGATGGATCTCGAGTAAAAACTGAAGAAACCTCAATTTACGCTTACATAAAATGTATCAAGATGACAATAAATTATATCTGATTCATAAAATTTTGTTAATAACTCATTCGTAAATCAGAAAATATTTTCGAAGCACTTACAACTTGATTTATCGAATTCGGAATTCCTACGAATAGAGTTACTCTGCAGAACAAATCGTTTAATGAACGCACTATTGCCACTACACGTGTATATTATATTTGGCAACACCGAGTAAATTTCGATCTTTCTACGGTGCTCTCTAGGAGTGATTGGTTGTTCCTCCTTAGCTTAGAAAAAAAATCTGAATAATCTTCCAAAATGAGAATCTACAAAGATATTTTCACCGGTGAGTTTTATCTATTGATTTTTACATTACTTTCTAGTGTACATATTTTTCTATTTCGTTTTGTAGTTTTGCTGAATAATTAGATCTAAGATTCCATCTGTCAACTGGAAATAATAACAAGTAGCAGATTAATGTATTTATAATTTTTTTGTAGGAGATGAAATGTTCTCAGATACATATAAAATAAAGTTGGTGGACGAAGTTCTTTATGAAGTTTATGGAAAATTAATCCAACGCAAGGAAGGAGACATTCACATTGATGGGGCAAACCCTTCAGCAGAAGAAGCTGACGAGGGCACCGACGAGACTGTCTCATCCGGGGTTGATATCGTTTTGAACCATAGATTGTGTGAATCCTTTGCTTTTGGAGATAAGAAATCTTATACTTCATATCTTAAAGACTACATGAAAAAGTGAGTACATTCTAGGCAACTTTCTCTTGCCAATTTTCAGTTTATAATAGTACACTTCGATTTTTTTACATCACAAATGCACGGCTGCTATTTGGTAATAATAATAAATATACTTCAGTTGGCACAGTGTGACCAATATGGTGTAAATTTGAAAATAGAAATCAATATGAATTCAAAGATTTGATAATTAATCTTTTCAGAAAACTTCTTTTGAAATCGAACTATTGGGTTAGACAAATTAAGTCATTCAGAATACTGAAATGTACTTTTGCATATAATCACTTAAAGTGCAACCAAAATTTAGCAAGGTCATGGTTGTCAATTGATTGTTTAAATCAACTGATTACAAGTGCTATTATTTAGTGTAAATATTGATGTATTCTGGTGATAAGACAAAAATTTTGTTTGTTATATTTCCATTTGAGCATATACTAATACTGGATATATATCTAACAAATGGGATATTCAGAGCAATATATGCAATATAAATAAAATGCCATTTTTATTTCATTGTAGAATATAATCTATGATGGAGAATGAAGTTTTGACAAGATTTATGTTAGTTGGGTCACTTATTTTTACTAATTTCTCAATATAACATGTTTCCATTAAATATCTAACACTTGTATAGAGCTGTGCAAGCGTGATTGCAAAGAAACCGCTAGCACATGCAAGTTTTCAGAAAATTTCTAGCAAAAAGCTTGGTTTTTGGATGATGCTGCTTCTATTTCATGCCTTATTGAACTGGTTCATAATTTCATTGACTGATCTAATGTGTACTGGTGTGCTAAGCTAATTATATTTCAAGGTATGGCAATTCGCAGGCTGAAGCAATGATTAATATTTTGGGATAGTTCGAAGCAAATTAAGCATGTAATGCAAAATCTAATATTTCACTTGTTTTTCTTCCACTATACTTTTAGTTTTCTATTTTTGTACTAGCAATTTTTTCTTTTTCATTAACTTTCGTTATTCTAATATTGTTGTCTGAGGAGATTGTACAATGTATATGATGGAATCGGCCGATACTTGATGAAAATCCATAACAAACGTATTCTAAAAACACTTTATTGTGTGAATTTCACTAGATAGTTTTATCACACAAAGTGTTTTATGTTATTGTACAATGTGTTAGGCAATACTTGTTATTATTATTATGACAACTTTAGGGTAAAGTTTGGTTTGTGAATGGGTATCGTAGAATTTTTTTACTACTATTTACTAAAATTCTAAAAGATTTTTACTGTCTTCGAATACATTTCAGGCGAAGAATTATTAAACTGGTCAGTATAACTTCTTTTGAATTTTTCCTAATATTTTAAAAGAAAATATGAATTTCAATCACCTTCAAACAAACGTTGAAAATACATTCTCTGTGTCCTTTTTCCAATCCCTGAAAATATTGAAAACTTTGAAATTTTTTTTTTTATTATGAAACAGTTTTGTTTATGCAAAATGCTGGTTGAAGAAATTGAAGGGTTAAATTTTCCAGATGGGTAGCCATGTTCAATCAAAATAAGGACCAAGAGTTTTTAATTGGTCACTGATGACATGACTATCATCTAGTCTTATCATTTTCGACTGACGTTGAAATAATTGTTTTATTACAGACTGGTTGCCAAACTAGAAGAAACGGCTCCTGAACAAGTAGATGTATTCAAAACAAATATGAACAAAGTTATGAAGGACATCTTAGGCAGGTTTAAGGAACTGCAGTTCTTCACAGGCGAATCTATGGAAATCGAAGGAATGGTCGGACTCATGGAATATAGGGAAATCAACGGCGATTCTGTTCCAGTCATGATGTTTTTCAAACATGGACTGGAAGAGGAGAAATTTTAGTGATATTTTTAATAAATTATTCACCCTTGTTATTTAATTTATACTCGTATCGCCTTTTAAATTGAGATTTTCTTTGCATTATTGCGAAATTAAATTTTACAGAATTGTACCTTGTTCCACGTACTCCGTTCGAATGAGTGAATGTTTATATATCTACGAAATTAAACTGTAATTTTCCTATAAATAACTCTGGAGTTTTATTAAAGTATTTTTGGTATAGATATAATAATAGTTATAAAACTTATCTGATTCGAATTTCGCATTTACTAGAAAAGTGAAATACTTTTCAAGGCTTGTATTCAAAACAGATTATCAATCTGAAATTATCTACTTCACATGTCAAATTCACGGCATACTTCTGCTCACTTCAACAATGTTAACCAGTTCTGTGCCATTTGAGTTTGAAGATTTATAATCACTTAACGTGAAATCAAGCACAGTAAACCTCGAGGCATTTTGTAAACCTGTAACAGGAAATGCGCATTAAGAAGAGTATTACAATTCTGGTGTTTGTTGTGGATTTATTCTGTTCGAGGTTCCAGTTTCACTTTCCATTTTTATTCAATTAATGAGGTTAAATTTCCATGTCTACTTGGAAGAATACAAGAAATATGTCACTTTTCTTTAAACGATCAATCGTATTCTCTTCACAACTATATTGAAGACATTCTCAAACATTACCTTTTACTGCTCGATATCCTCTAAAGGAATGGTGGCAATAAACCCAGCAAAGTTGAATAAATATACAATTTTCACACATAATGCATGCTTGCATAAATACATACATTCAACAAAATTGTTAAAATGCGTAAATAATATATACAATATTTCCGTTGAGTTGCGCTATTGAATAATTAGAAAGAACAAACTCCGGGCTGGTGGTATGCCTTGGTTTGATGGAACTTGTCTAGTCTCAATTAGCCAAAAACCTTTCATTTCCAGATATTTAATATTATTATGGTTTACTAATGACTTGAGCCAAAATACCTTGCAACTGGACATTTTCTAGGATAAATTGAAAAATAACATTAATCTAACAACAGAAACATAGCCTTTAATCGTTTCAAATACATTTGAAGGGAAAACTTGGTAGATCTTACAATTAGCAAAATCAAATTACTCTAATTTTCAATTCCCTAGTATATCCATCTCGATATCATTGAGCACATTTGCTCAGTATTGATCAAACCACCAGTTCAACTTTGACCTGTTATAAATAAAAAAATGAATTATTTGAACCAGTAGTTCAATATCACTCTAAAACCCATAAATAAATACATCTTAAAATAATAAGGAATGTGCTATTGGTGTTTTCTTTGGTATGATGGCTTTGGGAGAACTTACTGAAGTTACTCTGAGTCGTACCTTCACTGGAATTTGATTTAGGAATAGCATATAGAAAGTGGTTATCCACAAATTCCAATATCACGAGTTTTTTTCAAGAAAGAGTAATATCCAGTGGCGTAATAAGCATCACTATTTTTTGTGCTACTAATGTGAGTTAAGTTTCAATTTGTACTTTTAAAAACACCAGCTAGCGCACGAGGAAAGGACTAAAATAAATCTTATTATGTTAAGAAGATTCAGATTTCTTTAAAGCTATTATGTATCACTAAGGAGGTTGCAAAACTGAATGATTCAAATCAACTGAAGATAAAACTACATCTCTAAAATTTGACTAATACATAAAAAAATACTTTTCTAATAAATTACCTTTGAGCATTGGGTTGATACGATCATTCTTTTTGCAAAGTGATTTCCCAAATAATTTGCTATCGAAAGTTAGGTGTAATCATCACAGAAAAATTTAGTGGGGAAACATGAAAAATGAAGAAAATAGAAAATAATAATGATTCAACTGAAAGGTTCATAAGATGTTTTACTATTAGTGAAGTTTACCATAAAATAATTCGTGTTTTCAGAGAAGCATTACCTTGTATTCCATTATTGTTGGATAACCAATAATGCAAAGTGTATATGAAGAAATTGCTAACATATTGAAAGATTATTATTTACATTGTATTGGAATATTCTAAAAAGAAATCAATTTATTAGTTTACTGAAAATAAAACTATTGTGATATTTAATTGGACAATTTACAAAACCGTAACACGTATTTCACGACCCAAACGGCAGAGAAGATATATCAAATTGTTAACTTCTGAAGAGAGCAAGGAAATAACAAATATCAAAGATATCTCTTGGAAAATGTGTAGATTACCCTAGATAATACTTTGAGATACAAAATGCTATGGTGTTAGCAAAACGCGTCTTGAAATAAAAATGTTTGTGGAAATTGTGTAATTATTTTCATAGTGTTTTTAATTTTCATCAAGTAACGGGTCAGTCCATTCATAAAAACCTATTTGAAATAACTACTTATCTTAATTTTCCGCAGCTCAATTGAATTACATAAAATGAAAATGCTCAACATTCAGAGATGACGTTAATAATTTTCAATTTTAGTTTGCACCCCAAATTACACATTAAACTTCGAAAAAAATCAATTGGTATAATTCATAATTCAAAATATATACTAGCTTTTTCAATGTTTAGCCCTGACTCTGAAGATATCTACTTTTATTTTGAATATCAATTGGAATGAAAAAAAATTGAAAAATGAGTTACAACTTTAACAATAATATTTGTGTCAATTCAATATCTTCATTATATTGTACAGTATGTTTAACACAAAATGCACACATTATTATGATATAAAATCAATTCTATTTATTTACAAACGGGCAATGAAAAATTATCTTTCTTCCTGTCTTTAACAAATATGATTAATTTTGAAATTCATTGTAGCATTTATAAACCAGTTATGAAGATTTTCTTTATGAAAGACTAAACATTTTTTTTCGTGATTTGCTAATCAATAAAACAATCAAGACATTCAAAAACACATTCTTGAAATAGACACTTGAATAAAAACAATAAATGAGGTTCTGAACAAAATTCTCAATTGGTCCTAATTCTATTAAACTTGCTACGTCATTCAAGACACGAAGCACCTGTACTGAAAAAAAGTTCCACAAGGTTATTGTTCCGCATATGTATAAATTTTAACAATATTTTAACATACATCCATGTACGACAACTGACTTTGTCAACAAGAATTGTATTCTTTCGACAATAAAGCATATTCTGATTCTGAAATATAAAATTCATCTGAGTAATGTTTTTTCCGACTAATTTATTTAAAACTATTAATTCTTGTAGCATCCTTTTCAGAGTTCCATTTTTGAGAGAAATGTTGATATTTGCCGTTTCCTCTGTGACTACATGCCCTGTTAATAACTGACTGCCTTGCAAGCTTGGGGCTTTTAAAGAATTATTTTTCAAAAGCGATCTCGTTCTAAGCTGACTGGTGGTGGTACTATTCGGTGATCATGATTTTTTTGAACCAGAATTGTTGCTCCCTATTGTTAGGTAACCTTCGTCAGTGAAAGAGGAACTTCTCGTAATTCTCCAGTTGTCAGATTTCGATCAAGATACTTTACAAGAATTAAACTGCTTGCGAGCAAACCTCAATAAGGTTTTCCAGGTTACAAGGGAAATATTCAACTTAGGGTTTTAGATATCATGATCATTTTGAGTATTTTTTACAATGTGTTACGTTATTTATATTGAATGATTTTAAGATATTTTATTTATGTACGTATTGTTTTATTTTTGCTTTGATAATCGAAAATTTAAATTGAGGAAGACATTTAAATATGTCATATGTGAAATATCTATTCATACGGAAACATTTTTCAAATAGATATGTTCAAAGTTTATATATATATATAAACGTTGCTCTACTTGGAAGAGGACCCAAAACATGATTCTTTGCATAGGATGAGTGTGTGTGAGTCAAATAATACTATCTAATCTTTGGTGACAGCTACTATGATTGATACATGATTAGAAAACAGGAGACAGGTTGAGGGTGAGTGTCTGCAAAGTCTTGTTCCTTATTGCGGACCGGTTTGCCCTGGCAGATTTGATGATCTGCAGCACCATCATCTTGCAGTCGAGGCAGACGATCATCTGTGAGCCTCTCGGCTTTCTCGGTTGGAATCGTTTGGACCTGCCCGGATCGCTGACGATGCTGCCATCCATGCTGGAGCTCGGCCTGCTGTGCTCCGGACTGGCGCTTTTCGACTCGGGCTCTGAAGTCAGTTTATTCACCAGTGCTCTGGCAATGGACTCTTTGGTCTCCTCTTCGGGCGTACACATGATGCTGGGGCTGAGCAAAACCACGGGGACGCTGGAGAAGTGTTCCATGGGGATGTTCATTCTGGAGAAACATTTGGAGCAGACGGTGCGCTTGCAGAGGGTGCACCGCTGACCCCACGGACCGAAGATGCCAAAACGCGTCTTCAGACAAAGGAAACACACTTTGCGGGTTTCCACATCATGTCTCACCTAAAATTCGAACAGAAATCTATTGTCTATTATGACGATTTAGTGAAGCACAGTAGTGATGAAACATCTTTACACAATGTCATACAACGTGATCTCGAAACAATAAGAACGTGGTTTGACAATAATCTCCTTGTACTCAATATCTCCAAAACTAACTTGTTAACCTTCAAATGTGAATTGGACACAATAATTCTTGATTCAACTAATATTGACAATTCCCCCTGCACAAAATTCTTGGGAAAATAACCAGGAGATTGTTGAATTTGAAATAGTAGTTATGGTCAAAAAACCTCGGAGTGTAATATTAAATATATTGAGCATGTTTTTTGCTTGTTCTCAACAATTTTGCTATTGAAGGAAGCTGATGGCTCAATTAAAAACTAAGAGTAACAAAGACACTGACCTAAAAATACTTTTTTCATTCTCAAAATTTGATTGAAAAATAAATAAAACCAAAATTTTTTAATCCAAAAAAAATACAAGCTTTCACATTTGGGGATAGCTGAGTCGAAGCTATTTTCTGGACTTATTGGCCATGGTCTGCGATTCTACTGCTTTGTAGATGAAACAGAGCATAACAATCTACCAACCAAAGCTTTTCATAGCAGAAAATAGCTTCAACACATTTTGATCTGGCTCCGTTCAAAGAGTGGATATGAGATTTTGTGGTAGTTTTGATGAAAGCGTAAATTTCAAATTGAAAGAAGTAAAAAACTTTTAAGGAAAACATTTTCTACAAATGGGTGGTTCCACTCAAACAAAAAAGGCTTCAAATGGTCCACAATGTTCCACAACATTCGAAAGTGTTCTTGAATGTTTTGCAATGATCTGGGATATACATACTTACTTTGACAGAGTTATTCAAAATATCTGCAAACTGTTTGATAACGAAAACTTATTATGGGACCCAAAACAAAATTCTGGGTATTTCGTTTGCAACACTGAAAAATAGTATCCCAAACCAACCGTAACCGAAACAGTATGTAATATCTCCAAATTTATTTATTTATTTATTTGACACTTTGGTACATTGAGTACATGTACTAAGTCATAATTAAAAAACAAAATAAAACTACAGAAGTTGAACAATACAAAAACAATAAATATGGTTCACGTCCACAAACTTTCACAACATAGAAGTATTATATAAAAAATCGGAGAAGCTCTAGCAAATACTCTCAAAATGTCATGAAAAAGTGTCGTGCAAGAATTCCTCAAGACTGTAGTAACACTTCTGTAAGAGAAGTTTCTTCACCTCAATTTTAAAAAGTTTATCTGACTCGATTTTCCTAATAAATGCCGGCAAGTTATTATAACAATTTGTTGTATTAAAGAGTGGGGAGCATCTAAAGTGAGCCGTTTTGTGTGAGGAGGTTCTTAACAGTTTCCCATGACGGGTGTCTCTACCATGTATATCCGCGTTTGTGACAAATTCAGTTATATTGTTACGGGCAAAAGTGGCACACTTCAAGATAAATAAAGAAGGTGCCGTCAATAGGCCCTCTCTTAAGAAAATTGGTCTACAACTATCTTGAAAATCTATATTAAAAAGAGTCACTGCTGAAATTTTTCCTAATAAATGATTTCATTGAAACAGATTTAGATTTATTCAGAATAAGTTTGTTGCGTTGATACCAAGCACTGGATTTATCTATTATTTTATTTATTTTGTCTGACAACTCAACTTCGTTTTTGTCGGCCACAGTAATTGCAGTGTCATCCGCAAACATGGTTATGTGACACTCAGAAAAGAATTCAGACAGGTCATTTATGAAATTGAGGAACAACAATGGTCCCAGGACAGAACCTTGAGGCACTCCTAGTTTTACATATTTGGGACTTGATAAAATTCCATTGCAGCTAACTATTAGACTACGGTTTTCCATATACGATTTCACCCAGTTCAAAAGATTATTTGGGAAACCTAGGCCTGCAAGTTTAATTATAAGAAATTCGGAAGAAATGGTATCAAATGCTTTTGACAAATCGAAAAAAAGTGTTACAACTAGTTTATTCGAGTCAACCTGTGTATAAATGAAATTTAATAAATGGTACGAAGCTGATTCAATTGATTTGTTCTTCCTGAAGCCATATTGGTTATTACTAAAAAGATTATTTTGATCCATGTAATTCAGAATTCTGTTACTAACAACTTTCTCAAACAGTTTAGAGAGGGAACAAAGTAAAGATATCTGCCTGTAGTTGTCTACCTCAGTTTTGTCGCCTTTTTTATATAGAGGAAATATGAGAGCCGTTTTAAATACATTTGGAAAACAACCTACAAAAAATGACTGATGCATCAAAAACAATAGTGGCTCGATTATAAGGTCTACAATTTTTTTCACAGTAACTATTGAGATACCATCAGTACCTGCGGAGTTTTTATTTGCCATTGTTTCCAGAGTACCTAGAATTTCTGTCTTTGTGAATGGGGATGTATCGAAGGGATACTGACTAACAGTATTCTTCGAATAGGTACAGGGAAGTAATACATTTTGACCAAAGTGCTCTGAGATGAGCAATTCGGCAGAAGATGAAAAATGTTCAACGAAAAGGTTTGAAATTTCTTGTAGATTGTTAATTTCCTCCTTTAATTCATTTTTTAGAGTAATAGGTTTGTTTCCAAGTGCCCTTTTTTTATTTCCCAATTCATTATTTATTATTTTCCAAACTTGTTTAGTTTTGTTACTGGATTTCCTGATTTTTGAATCGTAATAGTGACTTTTTTCTTTGTTTATATTTAATTTGTGTTCTTTAATTTTTTGTTTATACAATTGCATAGCTTGATGGTCCACATTACAGTTAGTGGAAATTAACCAAAACAAATCTCTTAAGGCTTTGCTCTCTTTGACTGAATCATTTGAGATCCATAAGTTTGATTTATTTTCCCTAGGCCTAGTTCTTTTAAAAGGACAAGAAACATCATAACTCAGGAAATTTAGATGATAGATGATTTTGAAGATTACTGAATGAGATTTCGGGATGTAATGAGAAATCACAAGGTTTAAAGCATAGAAAATGAACATACTATAAAGTGAAATTATTAAACCCTTTCTATATTATGTGTTCAGCTTCAATAAAAAATCTATGTGTTCTTGAGTTTTCTCAAAATGCTTCTGATAAATTCCCTATTTCGTTTGGTCATCTCGTATATTTCAAACTTTAACATAGCCCAAATATGTCATATATCATATGGATTATGTTAAAATTTCACAACAAATGTCCAAGTATGTTCATCACATGTGAAATTATGATAAAGTTAGAGGTAACACTGTCACAAGCTATACTCTGTGCGGCAAGGTATAAGCTGTCACAAGCTATAGGTGACACTGTCACAAGCTTATAGGCACCGTCACAAGCAATTAAAAACACTGTCACAAGCTTATAAACGATGTGACAAGCTGACCATCAATACAATCAAATATATATTCATATACTTGTCAAACATCTTACCTTTCCCTCCACCGGTAGAGCCTCTAGCTCAGCCTTTGTAAGTACAGTCCTAATGTGTACAATTTCAGCCAAAGTGAGAGACAGCCTGTCGTCTAATGATATGGTTTCCTGCCAGCTCTGTGTGCAAGTCAGCTCGTCTTGGATCTGTCTGGCTACTTCTGGCTCCAGCTGCACTGATTCGGCCTCTGAACTGTTGCACGACTGCCTTGAGCACGGCCTTGATTGGGGTACCGAGTAACAGCCTATGTTTGCTTCAACTACCTGAAAGGCATATATCAGTATTTATAATGAAAAATGAAATATCTCAGAGTTTTTGTTGTTCAATAGAATAGAACCCATACATTGAAAATACAAGAAAACGATAAAAATTTAACCTGTTCCACAACAAAAATTACTTACCTCCAAAGTATTTCTCCTCATGTTTGTTCGCGTATAGGTTTGAGTAGCAAGATCGTAGGCATCAAGAGTACCTTCACATATTTGAGGGTACTCGTTAGACCACAAGCCTGGTTCTGTAGTTGAGTCGGGAGTATTATCTGGCTCGTCTTCGTCTTCATCCTCAAACTGAGAGAAATCTACTTTGATCAGCTTCCTTGGTGCAGGTTTTGGGGGTGTGGGTATCTCTAAGGGGGTTGATTTAGGATTTTCAATTTTACTACGAGAACTGCAAAACAAGAATTATTGATAATTAAATAGAACTGGCTAATACTTGATGAAAATCCATATAATATCTAACTAATACACTTTATTGTATGATTTTCACTATAAAGGGTTTTACAAAAACTGTGATATGTGTTTCGCTATACAACAGCTTTCTCGATTTTACGCTAGAGAAAGTTATTGTATAGTTTTCTTTACAGTGAAAATCATACACTAAAGTGTATTAGTTAGTTTTTTGTAGTTACTAGAACTAACATGCTAGAAATTGCACGTTGAAAGGTAGGATCTCGGTTATCCTTAGCTTGCACAAGTTTTGACTTTTGAGAATTCTCATTCATGAGGGAAGCGACAGCTGGTTAACAGAAAAACAAATTTCATCAGATTTTATTCTAATAGGCTCATTTTGATTGTTTCAAATGTCTTGAATTTTATTTGTGTTGATTAATTATTAGGTATTTTTTTACCACATTTATTATTTTGAATATGTGCTTGCCTATACAATTCAATGTATTTTATTCAATGTAATTTATCTAACAAATAACTTCTTTTTGTTTTATTGCATGCTTTTTAATAGAACAATTTTAATTGAGTGAAAACTAGACAAATAAATTAATATAGCAGAAGCAACTATTTGCTAATAACATTTTAAAAGCCTTACCGAGGTATTGGCACAGGTCTGAGCTTTCTTCCTTTTTTGATTGAGTTCAGCAGTTGCTCTCTCGGAGTTAAAGTTCTTGGCTGGGGAGCCAACTTTCTATCGCTAACTTTCTTCAATGGAGGCCTAGATCTGATGAATTCTAAAATGATTGCATGAGCATCTTTGGTGACTCTCGAAGGGATGTCTCCTTGAACCATAATCTTCCTTAAACTATATTTATAATTCCGGATATCTTTCATCAAAACTTCGTAAGGCGTCAACTCATATTCTATGGGAGCCTTACTGAAGTTTACTTTTTTCAATTTTACGCCAGTTCTGAGCTCCCCCATGACCTGCACCCAGAACTTAGCCCAGTCTGAAAACTGCAACTGTTCCAAATTCGAGTTTGTACTACTTGAAGGCAAGTTTATGCTTCCTTGTGCTACTTTTTCCAAGAACATAGATAGTTCCAGAGCCTCAGCTACCAAAGCTCTTACCACAGCCTTGTAGTGTGCTTCCGCTTGTGCTTCTGTGAGCGTTTCCAAGTGTCTTTCACAACGCCTGATTACTTCCTGCAGTGTTATGTGCGCCACGCTACGCGACGAGCTGGGTTCTTCGTTGTCCTCTGAGTCCCTCTCGATGCCCTCATCATCAGTCTCGTGGTGGCTGTGGTCGGAACCGTTCAGCTCCTCGGTTATCATGTCATTTATCAATTGTTCTAAATCATTGCTTATAACTAACTCTTCACCACTCTGAATATCCATATCTAGGGCAGTGTAAATCACCACACCAATGCCTGCTGTAACATCCTTCTCGCTTCGGAGTACTTTTCTAGGGGTTTCTCCAGCTAGTGCCGTCTTTTCGTGCACGTTGCCGTCAGTCTTCAAGTATACGTGCTGTACCTCAGTAATGACGTAAACATTTTGTTTTCTCGTTCGAAGACAGTCGTGGAAATACTTTGTGATTTGATAGCACAGTGCCCAGGCATGTTCTTCTTTTATCGAGGAGTTGAAAGAACTCAAAATATCGCATAAAGATACACTGCCGTCTGAACTGATGTTACATTTTGTTTTTGAACTCATTATTTACTATTTTTTACTATTTTGGCCTATTTAAGTACACCTTTGACATTTCCCTAACCTAAAAATTGATGTAATCAATAACACGACCTTGAATTTTCATTCACCCACTCATGTTCATTGTTATTGATTTTTCAGAGGGATATAAGATCTAGAGACGGTAGCTGCCTTGCATGTGTACTTACTTAACAATGTTCTATGATAACGCCCTGAAACTCCCCATATACTAATTTTTGTAATAATTATGTCTAATATAATTAAATTGATTTGAAATCCCTGAAAGAATCTGTAAAAAACTAAAATGATTAACCAAAAAATAACAATTTCATTAAACAAAAAACTGAAATCACAAAGAAATAACATACAAGCAACAACCAAAAAAATTAAAAATAAAAAATTTCTGAAGTAATATAAGCTGAAAATCAAAAAATATTATCTGACTATTTAGAGGTCATTCGAGTGCTTTCACCTATCCCCTCTTCCCTCTCTTCGCTTCAGTGGTTTTAGCGGGCGATGACCGTCTGGCGGGAGTTGGTCGTTTTCAGCTTGATTAGAAGTTTCTATATGTTACGTATCTCTACGCTATCTTGACTAAATGCGTTGTTGGACAACATATACGCGGCTTCTTTGAATTTTCTCCTAAACCAGTGTTCCTCTTTGTGGAACACTGATGTTGGGATTGATCTTCAGTAATATCGTTTAGATTAGATATTAATTTGTTTTAGCGAACATAGTATTATAAATACAGGTTGAGTCAACAAGATTCCCTCGGTTCATTGCTATCAGAGGAAACAATTTTTCGAACTGCTCCATTTTTTCTGCAGTTATATCGATAAATACTATCCATACATACAATTGAAAAAGTTGGGTTATGTTTGTTTGAAAATTAATGAAATTTAATCGGTTTTACCGAGCACCTTATCTATTCTTTCCGAAAGTTTCCGAAATTATCAAAGTGATGTTGACTAACTATTCCTAAAAAAATCCACTTGCCGTAGACAATATGGGACAATGGAGATTATATCATTTATATATTTGAATTGAATCAATACATTTTTTATTAAAATGAGTAATTATATTGAAATGAACAACGGCCGAATGAAACCTGAAGTACTAAAATATTGGGATGAGTTTATAACAAGAAAAAAAAGGAAGTGAGAAAAAAATGAACAGTGAGTATGAAGTTCAAAAATATAAGAACGCTAATTTTTAAAGATAAATCATTGAGACCTGAAATGAAAATAGGTAAAACAAGAGATGAAATATAATATGTAAACACTTACATCTGAATTCCTTATTCTTCGTTTATTTTTTAACATTATTATATATTTCCTTCTAACTCATCTGAATGATTCGGTCCTGATTCGGCAAATTTTTATTACTCTTATTTTATTTTTTCTCTATCGAATTCAAATCTAGTTTTTAACATTTTTGTAAACACTGGAAGTGAGTTTCATAATGTATTTGAGTCCAATTTGCCACTGAACGACTGTACTATATTTTAAATTTATAATAGTTCAGTGGTATCACCGAAATACGCATGTCTCTGGCGTATCGTTGGTTGCCAGTCGCTAGGTTACGTACGCCATAAGCATCCACAACAAATTCTCATTTTCTACAATCCTACTTTATATTTTTGAGAGTGTGTGATTGTGTTTGGTGGGCACTTTGGCGAAACAAATCACTGCCCCATCGAAATAGAATCATCAATTCATAGTATCGCCAGGTTTTATGTTTCTCAATCCATGGAAAAACAGGTAAGTTGCCGGCTTCAGTAGATATATTGGTAAAAGTTTATTTTTAGTCCATCTTTCACTTGATTTATACATATTCAATTTAAAAAATATGATTTTGTTTTTTGGGAAAAATGTTGGTTTTTGTTAATGTTCAAATGAAAACAATAAAGCAGATATTATCAATACCCAACACAAGTAGGTATTCGCCAGAAATGGAATTATTATCAAATGCCTATAGATAAAACTCTATAATCTCCAACGATATGATTTTTTTTTAAATTTAAACCCTTTTACTTCACATAATTCTTTCCATGGCAAGTAAATAAATTCTTTGTCGTAACCTACCCCAATACAGGTGTATCAAATGTCAAATGTATTGATTGAACAGAGCCGAGAGTTTAAATTGAGGAAAAGTTCCTTATCGTTAGAGGGAAACCGTAAAACAAACTGAAGAAAGAATCGGTTTGTGTACCTATTTTAACATTATTCTCTCGCCTTCGAAACATTCTAGGGATGCAATTCACCTCTGAGAGTAGGTATTGAAAGTGTGTACATCGAGTGTACTTGCAAATAAAATTGACCTGTTAAATACTTACATAGTTGAACGTGACTGGCGGCGGGTCTTACGTTCTTCATTTCTAACTTGTTTCAGTATGTTAGTATGTCCCATAAAAAAGTCTAATAGGCGAATGTTTGGTGTTCTAGGAGACCGAACCACACAAACAATACCAGCCCACATATTGTGGTTGTTTTGTATGTTATTCTTGCATCCAGGATGGATTTTCATTACATCAAGAACGAGTGTTTGTCCAATAATGTGGTTCATTTGAATAATACGTTGTCTCGTTTCAATATAAAATGTTAGCTATGAAATTGTTTTTTTGTTTTCTGATAAGGATAAAACTCTACTCCTTTCAAAATTTTATGATAGTGAAGACTTTACAAAATTCAAATTCTCATATTCCCCTACAAGTATGGAGGCCGACAAAATTACTTTTTAAATATTTTCTGTGACCATGAATCACGAATCTGGACCAACTTTTTTTCACAAATATAACAATAGTAATGACATATGCAACACTGCGATTTCTCATATTGAAATATTAATATGATATTTATTAAATGATTCTTTGTCAATTTTTATAATCTCGGAAAATTCACAAATACTCAAACAGCGATCTTGACGAATGAGATTGACTACTTTCTCGATATTTTCATCCGTTTTCGAAGTTGAAGTACGTCCTGAGAGTCGATCATCTTCGATGTTTTCTTGCCCTTCTTTGAAATGTTTAAGCCATTCAATTTACCAATATTTTCTAAAAATTTCACGTTGAAACGGTGCTCAATCAACTAAAACGCCTACCATTTTCCCACGTGCGGCAAATACGAACAAGTTGGTGTCGTCACTGTCGTCCAATCGGCTAAATGTGGGGGGAGATCTCAAAGGGCTTGGCAATATGGCATTTGACTTTGAAACTCTCACCATTGGTGTCACATCTAGTATTTCTTCCGATTTTCATAATTTTTTTTTCCTTACCTCCTTCAGATACTCTTATCTGTAGGTCAAATGTCGAGTACAGACGAGACGGGGCGCGACGCTCGTAGCTCATTGTCAGGGCCGACCGACTCTTTCATCAGTGACTTTCGAGCAAAGCAAACATTGGTGTCCCACATTCCCTTTGTTGCGGCTCGCCCGAGAGAGAATTTCAATTGAAACTCTAACTCTGGTCGTTTAGTATCCTTCGCTTTTGCTGCCGGACAAGCTCCCCGATAATCGCGATTTTACACATCACTGAAGTGAAATAACCTATTTTTGGAATTACAGGCACATTCCGAATAACGGAAGGGATCTATGTAAGAATACGGTACTTTTTTACACACATCAGAACTGAATAAGAGTTTTGTTGGATTAATTCTCGTCATGAACATCTCATGATCCAATTCTACCACTCAGTAACGATAAACGTTTTTATTCAGAGTACTATATTACTGCAATATCCTTGTTAATAAATTAGTCGAGACGGCAATGCTACATTACTACTTAAGACCACAAAATTTTGGAATTGAATAGAACTGGCCGATACTTGATGAAACTCCATATTAAAACTAATTAATACGGTTTATTGTATGATTTTTTACGCGAAACACGTGTTCCGGTTTTTGTAAAACCCTTTATAGTGAAAATCATACAACAAACTGTATTAATTAGTTTTTTTTACAAAATTTAGAGTTTGTATCAAAGTCATACATGCATAACAATATCTTGGAAAAAGAAGTAGTAATGAATGATCACCAGATTTGTGACCCTTTGATTTCTATTTCTTAAAATACCTCAAAAGTTAAATTTATAGAAAGCAAACAGTATATGAATTATTTCTGTTAATAACATTATTCGATTGCTTTTCTATTATTATATTACGCAGGAACTTTTCAGTTTCTCTTTCATTACACTTGAGCTGATTGTCTATTTCAGATTGAGAAAAGTGAAAACCCAAAAAAAATCAAAAAACAAAGATTCATTCGAAAAAGATGCGTTTCAAAAAATATTCCGACTAAAACTTGTCATTCATTCTTCGAAGTTTCTTGCGATGAATGTGAGAAAAATGCTTTATGGTTCAAATTTGAAGATCCTTTCGTAAAACAATAACTCTTCAGGTTTTTATCACTGGGTACTCCGTTTAATAGCGACGCGAAAGTTTTTTTAACGAGAAATGCATTAGAATTTCAACGAGTACGTTATTCTTTTGTTTCTTTTTATGAAGCTAGGGACATACTCTGAATAGCTATTAGGTACACAATTTTGGCATGATATATATTACGAGGGGTGCCGCGTGCTTTTAACCAGGGTCGATAACGCAAGATATAATGCACAAACCGCCTTTCCCGAGGGGGCTAATGCGTTGACACTCATTTCCGCATTCACACAAAATAACTATAGCGATATCGAGTAACATTGCATGAAAGAACCTTTCGAAAGGTGACTGCTTTGCCTAAATTACTTTTACAAGCGAATTAAAATCGCATTCGTTGATAAAAGTTCGAGACTCTTCAAAGTCGAGTCTTTCGTCGATTCGCTTTAAAATTCAATGACGTGTTGTACAGCTAAATTTAAGGGGAAGTTGGTGTTATTTTCTAGAGATTTTCATGTGAATTACACTTATAGACTAGTCTGTGATTTATTCCTTCAAAAAGAAAAAAGTTTTTAAAGTACTTCGAGGAAAAATGTGAAGATATTCCGGAATAAAAAAGAAAAGCAAGTTGGTACGTAATATAGACATATGACCCTGGACTGTGAATTCATAAAAATTGAAAAACAAACCTTTCAGTTTCTTTTTAC